CACCCTGACTCAGTCACACATGGTGCAGCAGGTCCTTCAGCGCTTCGGCTTCCAGTTCTCCTCACCACAGGCCACACCTCTGGCTACCAGCCACTCGCTCTCAGCTCCACCTTCGGACGAGTCCGTAGAGCCGAGTGGCCCGTACCCAGAGCTTGTGGGCTGCCTCATGTACCTGATGACTTGCACGCGACCTGACCTCGCGTACCCTCTTAGCATCCTTGCTCGTTACGTTGCGCCTGGGAGACACAGGCGAGAGCACTGGGAGGCTGCTAAGAGGGTGCTGCGTTACTTGTGCAGTATATCAGGCATGGGGCTGGTGCTTGGAGGACGCGACAGAGTTGTCCTCACTGGTCACTCGGACGCTTCTTGGGTGGACGACTTGGCTACGCAGCGGTCGTCACAGGGTTACACCTTCAGCCTTGGCTCTGGTTCTGTCTCGTGGCGGTCCACCCGCTCTTCCTCTGTTCTCGGCTCTAGTTGTGAGGCTGAGATCTACGCCACAGCCATGGCTGCACAGGAGTTACGCTGGCTCACCTACCTGCTGACTGACTTGGGAGAGCGGCCTAGTTCTCCTCCAGTTCTGTACGGTGACAACAAGGCGGCTCTTGCCTTGTGTCAGGAGCACAGACTGGAGCACAGGACGAAGCACATTGCTCTTCGCTACTTTCTTGCTCGAGAGCTTCAGCAGCGCGGTCAGCTTCGGCTTGTGTACGTGGACTCGAAGGCCAACACTGCTGATATCTTCACCAAGGCGCTCCCGCCTAGTGATCATCAGCGGCACTGTACTTCTTTAGGCCTTGTGTCCACGTTTCCTCACTTGCTCACTGCTTGACATTCTTTGTACTGTACTTTATATATATCTTGTTGCTTGCTTGCTAGGTTTTGATCACTATGTTGCTTGTCTTGTACTATATCTAGCACTGCATGTGAACTGGCCTTGTGGCCTTTGCTTGTGCTCGGAGTGTGGTGACGTTGTGATCCACCCTGGGCTTGCGTTGCTTTGCTGGACTGGTCTTGTGACCCTTTGTTCTCCCCCACTTTGCCTATGGGGGTGTGTTAAATTGTAATGTGTTATATGTTGGTAGGCTGTAGTGGGGTAGCCAATATGGGGTACAACCCCAACTAGGGTTTGCTACTTGTACCCAACTGTTTCATTCAATGCATCATTCTTGCCTAGTTCTTTTCACAAAGATTACGGGTGACGGGTGAACAATGTTGCACTGCTCAAATTTTTAGGACGGTGAGGGAAGAAAGCTTGGTGAAAGAGGCCGGCAGCTGCAACCTAAAGCAGTGGCGCAGCGATAGCAGGTTCAGGCTGGCAAGTTGACCGATAGATTCTGGAAGCGACGCTAGGCAGCAGTAACTGTGCAACGAGAGCGACGTTAAGGAAACCAGATTGCCGAAATCTGCGGGCAAAGCTTCGAGCTTATTAGTGTTCACCATGAGGCTCCTGAGAGGCTGTAGCGAGGTCAGTGTGTCGGGAAACCGCGTGACGGTTGCTATGAGGTTCAGGTTCTTGAGCAACGTGAGTCGGTCGATCGATGGCGGAATGGCAGCATGCTCCGCACACTCCATATAGAGATCTTCCAGCCGCGTACAGCCCTCAAACAGAGAATTCATGCCTTTCTCACTTATAGCTGTGCGACTATACTCACTTCCCATCGTTTGAACACCAAGCTCGGTCAGATGAGGACACACGTCAGCGAGGCGAGAGAAAAAAAAGTCCGAGGCTGAGGTGAGGCTGCCGTCAGAAAGAAAGAGTTTCTTAAGGTTAGGGAACGACGACAGGAGTTGAAGGAGGAGACGCGGTTCCATAAAGAGGTCGTAAGGCAATTTGAGCTCATGTTGCACGCGGTACGCAATGCGATGCCATTGCTTGCTAACACGCGCGTGCTCCAGTTGGCCATCAGGTCTAACCAGAAAACTCAGTATCTGAAAAAGCACCTCCTCAGGTAGCCGTTGGATAGCCGACCCGACTGGCATCTTGTAACGAGGGAATAACAGGAAATAAATGGCTTTCCGTCGAATAAATAGTTTGTCTTCCCGTAAGCTAACACGGCTAACAAGCTAGACTAGTCAAACCTCAAGAAGCTAGAGCACAAGCAGTATCATTGTTGTCAAGAGGATATCCCGGAGCGGTACTGTTTTCCGATTTCCACCACAGCAGAAACCTTGAGTTTGTCCTTTGCACCGCATTGCACCACAAGGGTTATCAAAACATTTACAATTTGTCCAACGCAAAGAAGAGTTGCGAAACACGGACGGTGACACACGGCACGGTTTGGCGAACTCCCTTCCCCGCTCTGCGAGATCCGTGTGGTGTACCATCTTGTTGTGTGGATGTGTGCACATGGAGAGCACATCTAAGACCAGACCATACCCGTTTGTGGGAGCGAACACACTGCTAATTCGCTTTGGTTTTGTAGAACGCAAATATATTTATTCAAGCGACCAATACCAGCACATCACATCTTCGCCAGCAGCCAAGCAGTACTGGGTAGCACCAGAGTTATACTCTGGACTGGGCATTTCAAGGAGATGTGGTGATGATGCTCGATGCTCTTCCGAACCATTTGCACCGCCAGGCATCTGTGTTGGTTGTGTCACTAATTTCACCTTTAGTGGATGTTATTAACATTGGACACCGTGTTAGTGCCTGTGTAGCTGCTGCTGACGTGCATAATGGTAGTATTATGTTATTAAATTCCAGCAGCTGCTCCAAATAAATGCACAACTTACGTTTCAGGTGGAGGCACTGAGGGAGGATGGCATTGGGCTAGGCGTGCGCGAAAAATATACTGAAAAGGTTAGTCACGATAGTTTTCACTCGAAATAAAATTGGGAGTAACATTTACAAGTCCACCAATAGGTGGGGGCCTAAAACTACAATATAAGACCTCCGCGAAAATCTTGTCCCTGCACCAACTCGCGGACAATAAAAATGTGCTAGCGGCTTATTTTGGCGATTTAATTAGGCAAGGAAACCTAGCTTCTCGCCGTTCTTCTTCGCCAGCCTGATCAAACCCTGACGCTGTTGGGCAGGGGCTCCGACGGACTTGCAGAACTCGGTGATCACCTGAACAAGACGAAGGGGCACGTTAGAATACAGTTTAATTAACCGCAATGGCATCATGAGCGTTCCAAGGGGTAATACTCACTTGTGAGTGGAGAGCGATGCCTTTCCCTCGAAGCTGGTTGAACTGCTTTTGGCCGATGACATTCTTCGCGACGACTACGATAGGGGCAAACAGGCCTTTCCCCTCATGCGGGTTCTTCATCGTTACTACTCCTCTCGAGGGTGCAGCCGGGGTTACTCTGTTAACAGTGCTAAGGAGCTCGCTCTTCCCATGACCTGCTAGTTCCTGGCTGGGCGCAGAGACGACCTTGAGGGTTGGCAACGAAACAGTTACGAGGGCCATAATGGATGGTGTCGGAGAGTTTAGACCACTGAAGTTGATGATCAGCAATTACTCTGAACAAGGCGCTGCAAGAGGAAGATTATTATAGTTTATGCAGAACTGAGCTCGGATGTTCGGTGAAGAGAGCTTGATTACAACAATTTGGAAGAGCTCATGAATTTGTATGCAGGCAGATACAACGCTGGAACGGTGGAATGCGGGTGACGTTGGTTGATTGGTGGTACAGCTGATGCTCACCCCATGCACGCGAATTTGCCTTGCGCCGGATGGATACGCTGCACCCGAGGTTGTTTCCCCAGCTTCATGCACCTACATTACAAGCGCGTCGCGTGGTTATCAACCAGTAGTAACGAACAGACCGACGTCAAACTAGGTACAGACCGAAGTCAAGCAGAGGAGACTGAAGTCAAACTAGGTTACAGATCTTGTTTATAAGCACATGCGAATCATTTTTAGCTAGCTGCGAATTGCCGAAACTTATGCGAAATGCTCGTGACAGCTTATACGCCCCCTTCGTAAGGCAACCGGGAGGGGCTCAAACAGGCATCAGGTGTATACGCAGTAAGCCCAGTTTCCACCCTGAGGCCTTTGAACTTTGACGGGCTTCCCTGGGCCACGTGGCGTACATTTTGTGGTCGGACGCCTATTAGCGGGTCGTCGTGGCCCGTTTCCCCACCATCTTTGCCCTTTCTGAATGTCGCCGCTTGTTCGTCTCCTCCCCGCGCCCAGGATCCTGGAAAAAAGATCCAGCGGAGCTACCAAGTACCGAGTGTTGGTTGGTTCACAACACGTTCTCTCGTGGACTCGCAAACTAGTGACACGTGGTGGCTGAAATTACTGGAACCGTCGAATGAGCCTGAAATCAAATGAGCTCATTCGTTTCCCGAACCGACAGATTCAGGTCGACGTCACCGCCTCCGCTGGGTGACATGGGGGGAAAGAAGAGAAGCTCCTTCCTTGCATCTGCCTAGCCGGACTTGGAGGAGTTGATGGTGCTGTTCGCCAGCAAATCGTTTTTTGTCTTGAAAACGATGGCATCAGCGTCGCGACGGCATATGGAAACGGGGGCGGAACCCTCCTCCGAGGTTTGGGCGAAATGCTGTTCAAGAAACTTCTGCGCCTGCGGTTGAGAAATTTCTCAACCGCGTCGGGAACCTCCATTCCCACCTTCCCCTCGATCCCTTTTGAACGGCAATGCGACGGCTGTGCCATCGCTGTGCTTCTAAAAACGCGGCATGGCGATGGCATGGCTATGGGATGGTGTTCCTGGGGAGGAAGTTTCGTCCCCTCTTCCATATGCCATCGAAACGTCAAAATTGGTGTACAAAAGTGTGCGTTCGCCAGACGCCCAGTTTGTTTGTTGGTTTGGACGGTAGGTGAGGCTCGGCACATTTTTCACGGGCTGACCAAGCTGACGGAGGTTAACGAACTCTAACTGACGGGATCAGGAAGGCGAGACCCACCTTCCTGATCCCGTCGTTATCCCGTGGTTTTTAGATATAATGGTGCTGGCGAACAGCCCCGATGTCAGATCTCCAGAGGACCTCCGACCACCACCATCGAACACTGCATCCAACTGCCATGGACACGGGTCTGACGTTTTCTGTAGTCCACGCTCGGCTTGGAAAGTCCCCACTCCGTCGCAGACCGCAGCATGCCTCACAACCAGAAAGCAGGCTCCGCATGGTTCAACAGATGCACGACTGAGCTCTAGTGGTCAACCAGAATAGGCGGTAATTAATCTCGTTTACTCGGGAGCTCGTGGTATGTGATGAACACGCTACGTCAAATAGGAAGCTCGGAAAGGTGTTATGGCGCTGCGATTACGAGAATATACAATGTTGACACTCACAGATCAACGGGTGGGTGTTTACGTGAGACAAAGATGACCAGCAGTCCCATTTTTTCTTGCCAGGGAAAAACGCGACGCACTGATAATTTGAAACGGAGAGCATGCGCAAGTCTAGGAGTTCGGAGATTACGCGATGGCGGTTTCCAAGCACGCGGTACCGAGCGGTTTCATCGCACACCTTGCGTTACACAAGCGAGCTTAGCGCCCTGGAACGCGTTTCCGCACGAGGGTAGCAATGACTCCAGTCAATCAGGGGAAGCCCCAGACAACGACGCGCCGTCGTGCTTGTTTCTGGGTCCGTTAGAGAGCGCCACGAGAGAGCAGCTCGAGCAGTTTTATTCGCAGGTATGGGAACTTGAGGGTATGATGTATGTAAGGGGTGCACTTACGACTGATATATTTACTTGAAGTAACTTACGTGTAGGACCAAAATGACACATTTCGGAGAGGTCATGCTGCTTGTATTGCCCGCGTTCCCTGACTTCACCTCGTTCCCGGATCCCGTTGCTTCTTTCGCCTACCTGCTCAGGCTCGGGATGCGTACTACAGCGGGAAACCGCTAGTATCAGACGACATTTTCGATCTGGTCGAGGTATGCTCTCTTGCAAGCCGGGACGTTGCCCCCCTTTTCCAGCGTTTCGCAGTGATAATAAGTGTGAAGATTGGAAGTGGAGGCGTGATTCTAAAAAGCGTCAGCTCATTCGTGCTTGTTTTCCATGCAGCGCCGGTTGCGGTGGTTTCACTCAGCGCTGGTCAAGAAGTACCCGCGCTGCAGCATACGAGCTCTCTACTGCTACTCTGATGCCGAGGTATGGCACTCATGGGCCCAGAGAACTTTTTAGCGGCTTTATTATTGTTGGACTGTGTCGTAACATGAGCGCAGTCGCTATCGCTAATACCGGCTCTTTTGTATGCTCTCCTCTGGCTGTTGACCGGATATTTCTTGGTTTGTTCCCCACTTAATCTCACAAGACACTGTCGCTCATGAGACCTTCATTTCTTCCATTTCCCCGTTCCATGCTCTCGCATCAGGCGGACCCTTCCCAAATGGCAGCGCTGTCAACCATGTGGTCGATTATTCTAGCAGTGGGAGCAGCGCTGACAGCAATGCCACTGGTTTTTCTGGTGGTGGTGATGGGCGCGAGTGGCGTGGATAGGGTGGAAAACCCTATTCTCTCAAGCCCGCTGTGGCAACTGGATGGAGCCATGGCAGCTGGCATTTGTTTCCTGCTCGGGGCGATTCTTGCTTCAGCTGCAGGTACGCCATGGCTCTGCTTTCTTGTGGTGTATGGGTGTGTGCGTTCTTTTATTCTCCCCAATATCTTTTTTTCTGATATTTCCAGGCTTATCTGCATTTGGCTTCGCCCTTCTCGCGCCATTGGCACAATGCTTTCTGGGAGGCTCCTCGTTTCTCGCTTACTTCCAATCTTGCTGTGAGATTCAGTCTGGTTCATCCTAATCATGGAAATTGTTGATTCTTGCTCTGCTTACCCATCCCACAGCACGCCCGCTGCAGCGCATAAGCCAGGGTAAGGTGGTGGCACTACAGGGAAACTGTCCACACTGTGGAGAGGAGGTTTACTCGTTCGTTACACTGGAAGGGGGGAGCAGGCATCGACACAAGGCCGAATGTCATGTCTGCGGCCAGCCTCTGGTCTTTCATGCGTTCGTCGAGGTGAATCTCTTTTGCCTGATTCTGCCTTGGTTCATTGCGTTGGTTGACGAATTGGGTGATTGTTGGCAACTTTGGGTTCGCTTTGTGACACATGCATTCCATTCTCCTTTTGCATGCAGGCATCTCCAACTAATCCCAAGCATTCATGGGCATATGGTAGAATATACGTTGTGGCTAGAGCTAAGGATTTGGAGCCTTCAGCAGAAACAAACCCTTAGGGTTAGTGGCTTCAGTAAGATATCAGGAATTTCTGGGTGGTGTTTATATGTTCCTTTGTGCGGTGTGTTTGTGTATAGTAAAGTCAAAAGCCAGAACTGGCAAGGCATCATAGCACTGCTACAAATTGCCGTGGTTCGCATTCTGCAAAATAAGCAGGGACTGCTGCTGTGTTTTCTGATCCAATTCATTTCACTGGCTAAGTCCAATGCTGGGGGGAAAGTACCACCTAGATGGGGCGCTCCAGGTCAAGTTGCACTGTGCTGGTTCCACCATATGATATTGCGCTTTTACAACACCAGATTATCTAGCTGCTGTATCCTTAACGATACGCGGATACAATTGCGCCCCACGTCCACACTTCAAACGCGAACGGAGGGGCGCGCGACGCTCATAGTTGGGGAAGAGAATACGAGCCGTCCGATTTTCGGGAATCACTTGTTCGTGGAATGCTTTTGGCGCTAAAGGTTTGGATAAACAAGCGATGCAGTACGATGCCACTGGCAAGCCCAATGGCCTTCTTGCCGCGGGATTGCACTGCCATATGACTGATCCTCCTCGTCACACTTCTTGTGGTCTCTCGTCTCACTAGTCTAGCTTCATGTAAGTCTCATTAGTCTAGCTTGTTTGCCGTTTAAACTTTTAAGAAAAACAGACTTCTTCAAGAAACAGCCATTAGTCTCTTGTTATTCAAACGTTTCAAGATGCCAGTCGGGTCACCTATCCAACGCCTACCGGAGGAGCTTCTTTCTCACGTCCTGCGTTTCCTGGTTCGACCTGATGGTCGGCTGGAGCACGCACGCGTCAGCAAGCAATGGCAGCACATTGCGTACCATTTGCAAAAAGAACTCCACTTGCCCTACAACCTCCGCATGGATCCGCATCAGCTCCTTCAACTCTTGTCCTCGTTCCCTAAACTCACAAAGCTGGTCCTTTCGTATGGCAGCCTCAACACAGCCTTCAACTCTTTATTCTCTCGCCTCGCTGACGTGTGCCCTCATCTGACCGAGCTGCGAGTCGAATCGATGGGACGTGAGTACAGATATGAAGGTGTAAGCGAGACGAGCCTGGAGTTTCTGTTCAAGAAGTGTACTCTGCTAGAAGATCTCCATTTGGACTGTTCGAATAATGCTGCCATTCCTCCGTCGATTGACCGACTCACATTGCTTAGGAACTTGAACCTCAGGACCAGCGTCACGCGACTTCCCGACACGTTCACCTCGTTGCAGTCTCTCAGAAGCATCGTGCTGCACACTTACAGACTGGCGGCTTTGCCCGCTGATTTCGGCAATCTGGTTTCCTTAACGTCGCTCAAGGTGCACAGTTGCTCGCTGGCGTCGCTTCCAGAATCTATCGGGCAACTTGCCAGCCTGAACCTGTTATCCTTGAATGACTGCTCAACGATGCAGCTGCCAACCTCTCTCACCAAGCTTTCTTCTCTCGCCGTCCTGGAGATTCGACGTTGCAAGTTCCTTCTCCCGCCACCCGTCAACTTCCCTCGACTGTGGCGGCTCGAAACCCTCATTCTGGAAGGAGTGACGGGATTGCGCGACCTTATTGAGGCTCTTGAACATCTGAGGCGGCTCAAGGCTTTAACTATCAAGTGCTGCAGCGATATCACGTCTCCGCCCGAGTCTCTCTTCCGCCTGCCGTCGCTCACCAGCCTCACCCTCCACATGTCACAACTGGCAGTACTCCCTGACGATATCGGGAGGTTGTCAAAGCTACAGACACTCGTGCTGGAGTTGACGGACCTCACAACTCTTCCTGATTCCATCTGCCTGGTTACAACGCTCCAGGAGCTTTCCTTGGATAATCTTTTGAAGCTGCCGTCTCTGCCCAAGGACTTCGGGCAGCTGATCGCTCTTGAAAAGCTGCGCCTTTACTGCCTTGGGCAGCTCACAGAGTTGCCTGAATCTCTCGGGCAGTTGACAGCTCTTCGGGAGCTGCTGCAACTCCCGGATTCGTTATCGCAGCTGTCTTCTCTCGAGCACCTGGAGATTAAGACCTGTCCGCGTCTCACGGTGCTGCCAGATGAAATGGGGACCGGAATGCAGCGTCTGCGGTATCTGCATCTGCAGCAATGCTCATCTCTCACCCACCTCCCTCCATCCTCCTCCGCCCTGACGTCCCTCGAAACCCTCAAGATCATGGCAGCTATTCGCTTCAAAGGCAACCTACTAGACGGTTTCTGCTGCTTGACAAGCCTTAAGGAGTTGGTGGTCCAGGATATGCCACGCCTGTCTGCCCTTCCTGCCTCCTTCTCTGGCGTTTTTTCACTCACCAGCCTGGAACTTATAAACTGCCCTAAAGTAACGATCTTGCCTGAGGGGATCGGACGGTTGGAGGCGCTCGAGACGGTAACGATCGCACGGATGGACGGCTTGAAACAGCTCCCTTCGTCTCTTGTCAGGCTGCCCCGACTGCGGGTGTTGGAGGTGCGCGTGTGTGATAAGGTTAGCGCGCTGCTCGGAGATGAGGTCGTGGTCAGACGCACCGCCAGGGGTTCTTCGGCCATCTCCAACAGCACTGCCAGCAGCAGCACCGCCACCAGCAGCACCGCCACCAGCAGCACCGCCACCAGCAGGGCACTGCTTCCATCCCTTCGAAGTCTCAAGCTGAAATCTCTTCCGTTCCACACCATTGGTCCGTCCCTTGGCCAGCTCTCCTCTCTAACGAAGCTGAAGCTCATGGAGATGGACAGTCTGGTATCGCTCCCTGATTCCATCTCTCAGCTCTCGCGCCTGAAAAGACTCCGGATTGATTTTGCCTCGAGGATTGAGGCACTGCCAGCAACCTTGGGAGGGCTTTCAGGGCTGCGAGTCTTGCAGCTTCGCTTCTTAGATATACAGCAGCTTCCCGAGTCGTTCGGGCAGCTGAAGATGCTTGAGACGCTGGAGATTATTGACTGCTGCAAGATAAAGAAACTTCCAGGATCTTTCGGAAATCTTTCCAAGCTACAATCCTGTACCCTCACCAAGCTTGCGATCTCAACATTTCCTGAGAATTTCTGGAAGCTCTCTTCCCTCCAGGAGTTGGTGCTCCTGGGACTGAAGCATGTCCGCAGCTTGCCAGAGTCGTTCTCTAAGCTGCCTCAACTACAGGTGCTGCTGGTGATTGCATGCAAGAAACTTGCCCGGCTGCCGTCTTCTCTCCGGAGAATGCCGACGCTGCGTGAGTTGGATGTGAGTGAGTGCCCTTTGCTCTCATGGCGAGACCGGAGGGGGATTCGTGCAGGGGTTGTCGAGGAGGACGGGGAGGAGGAAGAGGGAGTGATGGCTGATGAGGAAGAGGAGGATGGGGGGGAGGACGCAGAGGGTGGGCAGGAGGGAAATGCGATGGTGGAAGGGCGAGAGGCGGGCAGGGAGGCAGCAGAGGAGGCAGGGAATAGTGATGGTGAGGATTGGGAAATCTGTCATGAGTATGGTGTGGACAGTGACATTGACTATGACGATGTGGGGGGCTGGGGAGCGAGTGATGATGAGGAGGAATAGCATGGTGGAATTGGTGAGGTGGAAAAGGTGTTGAGGGAGATGTGAAGGACTGGAATAACAAGGGGAAGACGGTTGCTATGGTTGGATGGGAGTTCGTGTTCTTAGGTGGGATTGGGATTGGGATGGGATGGGATGATGGGATTGCTCATTGTGTTGGGTTACACGTATCCCAATTAATGCAGGCATCCCCAAGGATTCGTGGGCATATGGCAGAATTTATGTCGTAGCTAGAGCTTGGGATTTGGAGCCTTATGCTGAAGCACACCCTTCGGTGTAATTGTTTCACAGACAGGCTATTTCAGTTATCAGGACTTGTGTGTACATGTGTTCTGTTGTGCTGTGTTCATCATGCATACTCAGTCAAAAGCCAGCAATGGCATTGTCGCAGCATTGTTGCTCCACTGCATTGGTCTACCTACCAACTTTCTTGTGCTGCCCAGTTTTAACCAAAATTGCTTGGCATGATGCGCTTGTAAACTGTTTATTGGGCCAAAGTTGTTCGGTCCCACTATCGGGTACGGTTTGGTCGCTCTCTCCGTACGTGCCCATCGACGTGAACGGAGGGCGCACGAATCTCGCAGAGCCAGGAAGGAAGTTCGCATAACCGCGGCGTACGTCGCATCCGATTTTTGAAATCATCAGCTCGTGGAATAATTTGGCGGGAATGTATGATAAAACTAGTGGTGTAGTGCGGTGTCTGACAAGCCCAAGGTTCCCTTCCTGAAAGGATGCCTCGACCCCGATACCTCTAAGGACGCGTCACATTTGAAACATCGATCCTGCAGGGGATCGATTGTGGGGTCTACAGTAAGTCGCCATGTCTTGTATCGCTATTTCGCTAATGATCGCTAGAACGTGAGACACGTCATCGAGCGCGATGTCTCTTCCAGATCGATCTGTTACCGCACTAAAAACATACGTAATGCGTTTACAACTGTCAATACCAAATCTAACCCCGCTAAATCTCGATCTTGAAGACGATCGCGACACATGTGGCTCAAAGGTGATCGATGCACACATCTTCGGTGCGTGAACCCGATCCTTCCTCGGTGTGTCAAATGTAACACGTCCTGATCCTTCTGACCAGCTTTCTTGTTGCCTGACAGCTCTAACTGCTTCTAGTCTCACAAGCCCAACTTGTTTGCAGTGTTAGCTTATAGAAAAAGGCATACCATCTAGATGAAAAGCCATTAGTATCTTGTTAGTCCCTCTCGTTTTTAAGATGCCAATCGAATCGCCTATCCAACGGCTACCGGAGGAGGTGCTTTCTCAGGTCCTTAATTTTCTGGTTAGACCTGATGGCCAGCTGGAGCATGCACGTGTCAGCAAGCAATGGCAGCACATTGCTTACCGCTTGCAAAATGAACTTCACTTGCGCTACGATCTCCGTATGGATCCGCATCAGCTTCTTCAATCTCTGTCGCTCTTCCCTAACCTCACAAAGCTAGTCCTTTCCTCTGGCAGCCTCACGTCAGCCTCGAATTTTTTCTTCTCTCGCCTCGCTGACGTGTGTCCTCATCTGACCGAGCTGCGCGTCGAATCTATGGCACGTGAATACATACCCAGAGGTGTAAGCGAGAAGAGCCTGGAGTTTCTGTTCGACAAGTGCACTCTGCTTAAAGATCTCCATTTGGAGTGTTCGGAGCGTGCTGCCATCCCGCCGTCGATCAACCGACTCACGATGCTCAGAAGCTTGTATCTCAAGGCCAGCGTCTCGCGACTTCCCGACACATTCACTTCGTTGCAGTCTCTCACAAGCCTCGAGCTGCACTCTTACGAGCTGGCGGCTTTGCCCGTAGATTTCGGCAACTTGGTTTCCTTGACGTCGCTCAAGTTGCACTGGTGCTGCTCCCTGGCGTCGCTTCCCGAATCCTTCGACCAACTCGCCAGTCTGAGCCTTCTATCCTTGAGTAACTGCTCGACGCTGCAGCTGCCGGCCTCTCTCACCAATCTTTCTTCTCTCGCCGTCCTGGAGATTCGCCAGTGCGAGTTCCTTCACCAGCCACCCGTCGATTTTCATAGACTGCAGGCGCTCGAAACCCTCATATTGGACGAAGTGACGGGACTGCGCGGCTTAATCGAGGCTCTTGAGCATCTGTGGTGGATCAAGACTCTAACGGTCAAGCGCTGCAGTGAGATCACGTCTCTGCCCGAGTCTCTTTTCCGCCTGCCTTCACTCACCTGCCTCACCCTTGACATGCCGCGGCTTTCAGTTCTGCCGGACGAGTTTGGGCGGTTGTCAACGCTGCAGACACTCGTTCTAGATCTGAGGAAACTCACAACCCTTCCTGACTCCATAATTTCGCTTACCACGCTCCAAGAGCTTGCCTTGGAAAATCTCTGGAGCCTGCTGTCTCTACCTGAGGACTTCGGGCAGCTGATTGCTCTTAAAAAGCTGCGCCTGAACAACTTTCGCCTGCTCAGACGCCTGTCTGATTTTTTTGGGCGGATGGCTTCCCTCCGGGAGCTGGAAATTGTGGAGTGTAGGCAGCTGCAGCAACTCCCAGACTCCCTCTCCCTGCTATCTTCTCTCGAGCACCTGGAGATCAAGAAGTGCCCGGCCCTGACGAAGCTGCCAGATAAAATGGGGAACGGAATGCATCGTCTGCAGCATCTGCATCTAGAGCAATGCTCTTCTCTCACCCACCTCCCTCCATCCCTCTCCTTCCTGACTTCCCTTGAGACCCTCAAGATCATTGAAGCTAATCTCTTCGAAGGCACCCTACTGGACGGCTTCTGCTGCTTGAAAAGCCTCAAGGAGTTGGTGCTTGAAGACATGCCTCGCCTAACCTCCCTTCCTGCCTCCTTCTCAGGCGTTTATTCACTGACCAGCCTTGAAGTGATCAACTGCCCTAGGGTAATGGTCCTGCCTAAAGGGATCGGACGGCTGACGGCGCTCGAGGTGGTCAAGATCGCAGTGATGGATCGCTTGAGGCATCTTCCTGCATCGCTTGTTGAGCTGCCGCGACTGCGGGTGTTGGAGGTGCGGGTATGTGATAAGGTCGGCGCATTGTTTGGCGATGAGTCAGTGGTCAAACGCACCAACAGCATCGCCAGCAGCAGCAGCAGCAGTACCAGCAGCAGCAGCAGCAGCAGTAGTGAGGGTACTGCTTCCATCTGTTCAAAGTCTCAAGATTAAGTGTCTTCCATTCCGTACCCTTGGACCATCCCTTGGCCAGCTCTCCTCTCTCACGAAGCTGAAGGTCATGGAGATGGACAGCCTTGTTTCTCTCCCTGACTCCATGTGTCAACTCTCGCGCCTGAGAAGGCTTCGGATTGATTCGGCTATCCAGTTGGAGTTTCTGCCTGACGCCCTTGGAGGGCTTTCACAGCTACGTGTCTTGCAGCTGATTGACCTCTCTGAAGTAAGGCAGCTGCCCGAGTCGTTCGGGCAGCCGAATATGCTCGAGAAGCTGGAGATTATTGACTGCTACAAGCTGATGAAGCTTCCAGAAACATTCGCTGATCTGTCTAAGTTGCGCTCCTGTATGCTTATCAAGCTTGGCCTCTCGACTTTTCCTGAAAAATTCTGGGAGCTGTCTTCCCTCCAAGAGTTGGTGCTTCTGAGGCTGAAGCATGTCTGCAGCTTGCCAGAGTCGTTTGCTAAGCTGCCTAAGCTACAGGTGCTGCTGGTTACTGCGTGCAAGAAGCTGGCTCAGGTGCCGTCTTCTCTCCGGAGAATGCCGACGCTGCGTGAGTACCGTATCAGCGAGTGCCCTTTGCTCTCACAACGAGACACGATGGGGGTTCTTGCAAGGGGAGGCGGGGAGGATGGGGAGGAGGGAGAGGGAGCGGTTAATGAGGGAGAGGCGGAAGGGGAGGGTGGGGAGGGAGGAGTTGCGATGGTGGAAGGGCAGGAGGCGGACAGGGAGGCGGCGGAGGAGGCAGTGGGTGAGGAGGGAAGAGATGAGGTGGTGGAAGGGCGAGGGGCGGACAGGGAGGTAGCAGAGGAGGAGGGAGAGGATGAGGAGGGAGGAGATGAGGTGGTGGAAGGGCAAGAGGTGGACTGGGAGGAAGCCGAGAGTGGTGGTGAGGATTGGGATGTCTGTCATGATTATGGCATCGACAGTGACGATGACAGGGACGACGATGCAGGCTGGGGGGCGAGTAGCGACGAAGACGAGTAGACACATGGTTGGGATTGGTGAGGGGGAGGAGGAAGGAGAATGTGAAGGACCGGAAGGTGTATGTGCTGGAAGGAGGTTGTCATGGTCGGATGTGAGGTTGTGAATCGTGATTGGGAAGTTGTGGGTTTCTTTGTTTGTCTTGGTTTGGGTGCAATTTGTGTGACTCGTCCTAGTTTGCTTGTCAGCGAGTGGGTTGCTGCACTCACCAGAACAGAGGCGCCCTTTATGGGATGTGTAGTTCAGTGCAGATTGGGTCAATATAGTATAGGTGCAAACATTACATCAGTTTGAGGCGTAGCTTTTAAGGGTTGTAGGAGCGCCTCCTTTTCTCAGCCTTGGGAGGCAGCATCTGGAGCAAAACCTCACAAGAGAGGCAGATGATGAACAGGACTGGACACTCGCAGCGGTGCTGGCTATAGTTGAGAGGTGAAAGAACGGCCATATTGTGGCGTTCCATGATTGTTTTTGTGGCTATTTTTTAGTTGTTTTTCACCCTTCATACGCACATACCGGCAAAATACAGTACATTAAAATACAATGATTGATGATTTCGCACCCACAAACGGGTACGCTGCCATCACATTCTTGGCGGTAACTGCACACGACCACACCCGCCACCACTGCACACCCAAATGACACTCGCGGTGGCACGGTGGGTGATCCTCGCACAAAGGAGATACTGTAGGGCTTCCGTCGCTGTCCTTTTCGCAGAACTGTTCGATGTTACGTGGCGGGAATGGCTGGAGACGAACGAGAGCGGTTGAGTACGGTGCCAATAACAAGCTCGAGGGTTTCTTGTTGAGAGGGATGTACTCAATGATACTTCTCACGGAAATGTTTTCAGTAGATACTTACTCCCTAGCTCTTCCAGCCTCACAGCAACCTTGCTTGTAGGCGACTAGGAGTCATCACGCTACCTAGTTAGTAGCAGAATCAACCAGCTGAATAGCTGTTCGTTCGTAATTTCCTCCTCCTTTCACAATGCAGTCGGATCGCCGATCCAACAATTGCCTGAGGAGCTTCTTTCTCGAATTTTACGTTTTCTGGTCCGACCTGACGGTCCCTTGGAGCACGCACTTGTCAGCAAGCAATGGCAGCACATTGCGTACCGCTTGCAGCAGGAGCTCCGCTTGCCCGACAATCTTCGCATGGATCCGCATGAGCTCCTTCAACTTCTGTCGCTGTTCCCTAACCTCAGAAAGTTAGTCCTTTCCTCTGGCAGCCTCACCTCAGCCTCGAATTTCTTCTTCTCTCGCCTCGCTGACGCGTGTCCTAATCTGACCGAGCTGCGTGTCGAATCGATGGCACGTGAATACATACCCGGAGGTGTAAGCGAGAAGAGCCTGGAGTTTCTGTTCGACAAGTGTACGCAGCTGGAAGATCTCTATCTGGAATGTTCGCGGCAAGCTACCATTCCTCCGTCTATCGGCCGACTCACTTTGCTCAGGAACCTGCACCTTGAGGCAAGGGTTACGCGTCTTCCCGACACGTTTACGTCGTTGCAGTCTCTCAGAAGCCTCGTGCTGCAAACTTACAGTCTCGCGACGTTGCCTGGAGATTTCGGCAATTTGATGCTCTTAACGTCGCTCAAGTTGCTCGGTTGCTGCTCCCTGGCGTCGCTTTTCGAATCCTTTGGCCAACTTGCCAGTCTGAGCGTTCTATGCTTGAATCACTGCTCGACGCTGCAGCTTCCAGCCTCTCTCACCAAGCTTTCTTCTCTCGCCGTCTTGGAGATTCGACAGTGCGATTTTTGTGTGCCGTCACCCGTCATTTTTCGTCGACTGCGTGCGTTTGAAACCCTCGTTTAGGAAGACGCGACGGGATTGCGCGAGCTAATCGAGGCTCTTGAGCATTTATGGCAGCTCAAGACTCTAGCTATGAAGCACTGCAGCGATATCACGTCTCTTCCCGAGTCTCTTTTCCGCTTGCCGTCACTCACCAGCCTCACCCTTGGCATGCCACAGCTTTCAGTTCTGCCTGACGAGTTTGGGCGGTTGTCAAAGCTACAGACGCTCGTGCTGGAGTTGGGGGAGCTCACATCCCTTCCTGATTCCATTGCTCTGCTCACCACGCTCCAGGAGCTCGCCTTAGAGAATCTCTACAACCTGCCGTCTCTGCCCGAGGACTTCGGGCAGCTGATTGCTCTTGAAAAGCTGCGCCTGAACAGCTTTCGCGAGCTCACACGCCTGCCTGAATCTTTCGGGCAGTTGACAGTTCTCCGGGAGCTGAAAATAGTGGAGTGTAGGCAGCTGCAGCATCTTCCGGACTCCCTTTCCCAGCTATTTTCTCTCGAGCATCTGGACATTAAGAGTTGTCCCCGTCTCACGGTGCTGCCAGATGAAATGGGGAATTGTATGCAGCGTCTGCGTTATCTGCATCTGAAGCACTGCTCATCTCTCACGCACCTCCCTCCATCCTTCTCCGCACTGACTTCCCTCGAAACCTTCAAGATCCATGAAGCGCAATGCTTGGAAGGAACATTACTAGACGGTTTCGGCTGCTTGAAAAGCCTCAAGGAGCTGGTGCTTGAAGAAATGCCTCGCCTATCCGCCCTTCCTGCCTCCTTCTCGGGCGTCTATTCACTGACCAGCCTTGAAGTGATAAATTGCCCTAGAGTAATGGTCCTGCCTAAGGGAATCGGACGGCTGGAGGCGCTCGAGGTGGTCAAGCTCGCACTGATGGATCGCTTGAAGCGTCTCCCTGCTGAGCTTGTCAGGCTGCACCGGCTACGGGTGTTGGAGGTGCGGGTATGTGGAAAGGTTGCGCGCTGCTGGGAGATGAAACCGTGGTCAAACGCACTGCCAAGGGTTCTACAATGATCTACAACAGCACTGCCAGCGGCAGCAGCACCAGCAGGGCACTGCTCCCATCCGTTCAAAGCCTCAAGATAAGATCTCTTCCTTTCCATGCCATTCCGTCCCTTGGCCAGCTCTCCTCTCAAACGAAGCTGAAGATCCTAGAGATGGACTGCCTTGTATCTCTCCCTGAATCCATCTGTCAACTCTCGCGCCTGAAAAGGCTTCGGATCGATTCGGCCAGCCAGTTGGAGGCGTTGCCTGACTCCCTTGGAGAGCTGCCAGGGCTGCGTGTCTTGCAGCTGATTCACCTCTATGCAGTACGGCAGCTGCCCGAGTCATTCGGGCATTTGAAGATGCTCGAGTCGCTTGAGATTATTGACTTCTACAAGTTGATGCAACTTCCAGAGTCCTTCGCAAATCTGTCAAAGTTACGTTCCTGTACCCTGATCAAGCTTGGGATCTCAACATTTCCAAGAATTTTCTTCCCTTCAGGAGTTGGTGCTCCTGGGACTGAAGCAGGTCCGCAGCTTGCCAGAGTCGTTCTCTAAGTTGCCTCAACTACAGGTGCTGCATGTGATTGCATGCAAGAAGCTGTCTCGCCTGCCGTCTTCGCTCCGGGGAATGCCGACGCTGCGTGAGTACGGTATCAGCGAGTGCCCTTTGCTCTCACGGCAAGACACGCTGCGGGTTCCTGCAAGGGCTGGCGAGGAGGATGGGGAGGAAGGAGGGGGAGTGGCGGTTGATGTGGGAGAGGAGGAAGGGGAGGGTGAGAAGGGAGGAGATGAGATGGTGGAAGGGCAAGAGGCGGACAAGGAGGAAGCAGAGGAGGAAGCAGAGGGTGAGGAGATCGTGGGAGGGCAAGAGGCGGACAGTGAAGCAGAGGAGGAGGCAGAGGAGGAGTCAGAGGGTGAGGAGAGAGGAGATGAGATGGTGGGAGAGCAAGAGGCGAGCAGTGACGCAGAGGAGGAGGTAGAGGGTGAGGAGGCAGAGAGTGAGGAGGCAGAGGGTGAGGAGAGAGGAGATGAGATGGTGGGAGAGCAAGAGGCGAGCAGTAAGCAATGGAGGCAGAGAGTGGTGGTGAGGATTGGGATATTTGCCATGAGTATGGCATGGACAGCGACGATGACAGGGACCATGAGGGAAGAGGCTGGGGGGCGAGTAGTGATGAGGACTAGTAGAAACATGGTGGAGCTGTTTTTTTTTTTTTTTATATTGAGGACAGAAAATGGGGACTGAGGACTGGAAGAAAACGGTGGAAGGGGGTTGTCATGTTCGGATGGGAGGTTGTGTTCTTAGGTGTGATTGTGATAGGGATTGGGATAGCGGCTCCAGCTGCTGCTGCTGATGCGGCTGCTGCTGCTGCTGCTCCTGCGGCTCCAGCTGCTGCTGCTGCTCCTCCAGCCGCTGTAACTCCCTCTCCTCTCTCTCCAACGCCAGCTGCTCCTCACGGGCACGGCGAACACGAGCCTGGTGCCTAGTCGGGTAGGGGTGGGGGGGCGGAGTAGTGTCCGGGGCAGCGGCAGCCCCAGAGTCCACCTCCGAAGCACCAGGCGCACCACCCCCAGAGGCAGCACCAACACCAGCTCCAGACCCAGGCTCACCAGAAACCGAAGGAGGCGCACCCTCACCCCCAGACGGAGCACCCCCAGTGTCCGCGCGACCAGCACCAGCTCCCGGAAGACAAGAGTCCTCTGCACCCACCGGCTCAGCTCCAACTCCAGCACCCCCAGAACCAGAAACCGGTACAGGAACAGGCTCAGCACCAACCTCTCGAGAGCTAGCACCTGCGGCACGCTGCGAGGAGGACTGTGGGGAGGGAGGCTGTACCGGAGGGGCTACCGAAGGAGGAGGGGTAGCCTGGGACACACCTGACGGGGCTGGACCAGGGGGGGGAGGCTGTACCGGGGGAGCAGGAGGGGGAGCGGCAGTCAGGAAGAGAGGGGGAGGAGGAACCGGGAGACCTCGACTGGGGTACCTGACGTAGTACGGGGTGGACTCCTCAAAACGGACGTCACGGGAGTCAAAGAACCGGTGAGAGGGAGGGTGGTAAAAGGTGAAGTCAGAGGAGTCCTCAGGGAAACCAAGGAAGACACAAGGAACGGCGCGAGGCGAGAGCTTGTCTGCGGAGGTGTCGCGGACAAGAGCCAAGCAACCCCAGACACGAAACCGCGACGCAACACCAGGGGACCCGGTCCAAAGACTGGTCGGCGAAGCCTCTGGCCGAGAGACGCGTGGCCAGAGGTTCAGCTGGTGCGCGGCGTACCGAACCGCGTAAGGCCACAGAAAATGGGGGGCACGGGCGTGAGTCAGGGAGGTGCGGGCAATCTCCATGACCAAGCCTATGCGGCGCTCAACAACCCCATTCTGCTGTGGGGACTCTGGAAGCGTCCAGGACTGACGAATGCCCTGCTCGCGACAGAATCCAGCGAGAATGCCGGAGCAAAACTCACCCCCGCAGTCGGAGTGAAGACAGCTGACACGACGACCACGAGTGTCCGCGGTGGTGAGCAACCACATGGTCAGAGTAGAAGTCACCTCAGACTTCTTCGCCAGGGGGAACACCGTGGTGTAGCGGGAGTAGTCGTCAACGACCACCAGAAAGAAACGCTCACGCTCAGGGCCAAGGCGAGAGGCGGGGCCCCAGACGTCCAAGTGAAGCGTCTCAAACGGCTCGGTGGCCGGACGAAGGGAGGAGGAGTGAGGGGTGGCGCGCAGCCGACCCTCGACGCAAGGACCGCACGGTGGTGCAAGGGAAGGCACACGCGGGAGACCTAAGACCAGACGCTGACTAGACATAGCGCGCAGACGTGGAAGAGAAGGGTGTCCCATCCGGTGGTGCCACAGAACAGTGGGGTGGGCAAGCGACCTGCAGGAGCAAGACGCAGCGACTGGACTGGACGCGACTACCTGAGGGGACGTAACCACCTGGTGAGACGCAGGGAGGAGACAAGGGGGAGGGACAGGAACAGGGAGTAGGGGCTGCTGCGGCTGCTGCTGCTGCTGCGGCCGCTGCCGTGCACGCGGGCCAGTGTGAAGAGTGTAGAGACCGGAGCCCGGCTCAGCAGCAAAGGTGGCCAGAGGCTGGTAAGAGTCCCCGTCAACACACACCGCAGTCTCCCCAGAAGGCTCAAACCACACACCCACGTGCTGACTCACGAGGGGTCGCACGCCCACCAAGTTCCGGGAGAACGAGGGGACGTGAAACCCAGTGAGAGACCCGGAGGGAGCAGCAGGACACGGCAAAGTGGTAGTGTGACGCGCAGTGACTGGTCCCGAGGTGGGATCAGCCAGCGCCACAGAGACAGGCGCAGGAAGTGGTGTAAGTGTCGTGCTGTCACGGAAGAAGCAGTGTGAGGCTCCAGAGTCCAGCGTGAAAGACAGTGAAGCGTCCTCCGAGGTAGCCGCTGGACTAGTGTCTACACAAGAAACTACACTAGCAACAGGCAACTGAGCAAGGCTAGCACCTAAGCTAACAACACCAGAGTAAACAGAGTCAGAAACACTAGAGTCAACAACAGCATACATAGCATGAGGAGTTCCAATCAGATCAGCTAACTGCTCGGCAGACATGTCCCACAGAGTGGAGCCGTAACGCTGAACAAGGGGAAACCAGTCAGGGGCAGGACCGCCAACCCCGTAGACCAAACGAACCGTGTCAGTGAGCTGAGCAAAGCACTGACCAGGGGGGTGAAGGCGGCCACAAGGGTGGCCCCGGCGAGCACCTGTCAGAACCTGATAGGTGCAGGGAGGGTAAACAGCACCACGCTGGGGCTGACGCGGCCCCGACCCCGGAGCCAGCTGCGGCCGCTGCTGCTGCGGAGGCTGCTGGGAGGAGAGGGGCTGCTGCTGCTGCTGAAGGTACTGCTGACGCTGGGCCCGGTACCACGCCGCTGCTCCACCCACCGGGGCTGGCAGTACAGGGGGCGACTGACGAACTCGGGCGTCGCCACCACCAGCAGGCGCAGTGGAGTCACCGGTCACTGAACGAGACGTCTCTCCAGGCCCTGCACTCCCACCACCGCCAGTCGCAACGCCACCCCCACTACCTCCGCCTCCACCAACGCCGCCGCCAGCACCGCCCCTCTTGCCACCCCTACCGCGGGACCGCGACGAAGTCGTAACAGTTGCTGCGGTCGCGTCAGTAGCGGCAGTGGCGAGAGAGGCAGTAAAGGTGGGCAACTGCGGGACTGTGCACCCGTGGAAGAGTGGGGGGGGCACAGCACCAGAGGCAGCGGCGACGGAGCGGAGGTTGCTCTCGATGTCCTTGAGCGCAGACTCAAGGACCTCAATAGTGAGCTCACTAGGGTGCTTCAGGAGAAGCGCGTCACGAACGGAGGCAAGGCGGTCAGGGAGGCTAGTGGCGATGAAATAGATAGTAATTGCCACGGGAGGAGGAAGCAGTGCAAGCTGTGCCTCAGTGCAAGCAGCGCGGTAACTAGAGTCGAGCGAGCGGAGGTGAGCGATCAAGTCAGCAGAGCGCTCAAATGAGGCGAGATCAGGGAACAGGAACGGGAGGAAAAGGCGGCCAAGAGAGACAGCAGCAGGAGTGGAGTAGCGGGCCTTAATCGCAGTCAGGTACTCAGCAGCAGTGCGAACCTGAGTAAAGTGGACCTCCTCAGACTCAGGGAGGAGGGTGCTGAGCGCGATGCAGGCCGCAGCGTCACGAGACGTCCAAGCTGTCAAGTCAGCGCGTTGGCTAGCAAAGCGGGCTCTAGCGGCGTCGTCAGGGGCAGGGCCTAAAGGCGTAGGTTCGGGGGGCGCAGGGAGGGCACCAGTAGCGTGCGCCCAGAGGGTCTCGCCTGACTGGACCTGACTCTCTAACTGACGGCGAGCGCGCATAAGCCAGAGTGAAAAGTCAAGGGGTCTACCGTCAGCGTCGAAACGAAGAACACGCGGAGTCGCCATAGGTGAAACGCACGGAAAATCGGAGGCAAATGGCAACTAGGGTTTAGCCATAGTGCAGGAAAGGCGCGGCCGCAAGGGAGACCAGCAGCGGCGATTAGCGGGAGGAGCGGATGCTACGACGGACGCGACAGCGGGGCCGGCAGTGCACGCGACGGGCGACGGCAGCGCACGCAGCGGCGGGCGACGGGAGCGGGCGCAGCAGCGACGAGTGCGGGGGCGGGCAGCGGCGGCGGGCGCAGCGGCGACGAGCGCAGGCTGCGGGCGCGGCGGCGGCGCGCGAAGGGGGGGACGGGCGACGGGAGGAGGCGCAGGCTGCGGGCGCTGGCTGCGGGCGCAGGCTGCGGGCGACGGGAGGAGGCGCAGCGGCGGCGCGCGATGGGCGACGGGGGGGACGGGGGGAACGGGCGACGGGGGGGACGGGCGACGGGGGGGACGGGCGACGGGGGGGGACGGGCAACGGGGGGGACGGGCGGCGGGGGGGACGGGCGACGGGGGGGACGGGCGACGGGACGACAGGGGAGAGCGCGACGCGACGGGGAGAGCACGGAGAGAGCGCGACGCGACGGGGGCAGGGGAAGGCTCGATTCGACGGGCAGCAGGGGGGGAAAACGCGACTCGACGGGCAGCGGGGGGAAAAACGCGACTCGACGGGCAGCGGGGGGAAAAACGCGACTCGACGGGCAGCGGGGGGAAAAACGCGACTCGACGGGCAGCGGGGGGGGGGGGGGGGGGGGGGGGGGGGGGGGGGGGGACGCGACGGGCAGCAGGGGGGAGGAAGGTTGCTACGCTACGCGAGTAGGGGATTGGCGGAACGGGCGGTAACGAAGGAACGGGACGAGAGCGGGCCGGCGCTAGGCTTGGACAAGACGTGCGCAACTAGTACGAGAGAGGGAGACAGGCTCGGGCGATACGAACGAGGTCGGGAGGAGCGGGATCCCACAGGATCCGAACCTAGGTGATACCATGTCAAACTGAGGAATGAATGATGCATTGATGTTGGTTTGGGGTACATATAACAAACCCTAACTGTTGTACCCCCTAAGACAAGCCTCACTACAGGCTACAACATTTGACAAGCAGTCATGGGCATATGATAGAATTTATGTTGTGGCTAGAGCCAAGGTGGAGCCGCTTAGAGAAACGCTCTTGCGGTTTAAAACAGAATACGGTAAAGGAAAACCCCTGTGCACGTACTGTACCTGCAAATACATATGACATTCGCACTCTGTAAATGCAAATGTTTACATGCACACATAAGGAATAGTTTTATTGGACCCCTTTGTACTTCACCACACTCCATGTGTATTCGTATAGCAGCTTATTGTTACAAATAAGATCATTTCGCTGATGAGTGGTGGATTCGCACCTACAAACGAGTACTCTGCTTTGGCGGGAAGGAGACGCAACCACATCTGGTCATCAGCACATCCATTTCGGGGTCGCGAAAGGCACGGTGGGTGATCCTCGCAGCGTCAAGAAGATGTTCGTTGTTGTGTGCCTGTATCACCCGTCCTTTTCGCAAGTATGATGTAACGTGGGAGTACCTGGCGGGAATGGTTCGAGATAATATACCGGTTGAGTGCGGTGCCTTGCCACCGGCAAGCCCAAGGGTTTCATCGGTGAGAAATGTATGGTATTGACTGATCCTCCATAGATTGTTTTCTGTTTCCACCCCTGATCTTCCCAATACCCCTTCAGTGTGACTGACCTTGCTGGAGAACCATTAGAAGCCACGTTACCTAGTTAATAGCAGACCTAACGCAGTGAAGAGCCATCCTTCTATAAATCTTCCCTCCTTTCACAATGCCAGTCGGTTCGCCGATCCAGCGGTTGCCTGACGAGCTTCTGTCCCGGATTTTACGTTTCTGGTTCGACCTGATGGTCAGTTGGAGCACGCACTTGTTAGCAAGCAATGGCATCGCGTCGCGCACCGCGTGCAATACGAGCTTTGCGTGCCTGATGACCTCCGTATGGATCCGCGTCGCCTCGTTCAACTTCTGTCGTCGTTCCCTAATCTCGAAAAGCTCATCCTTTCCTATGGCAGCCTCACCTTCGCTCCTAATCTCTCATTCTCTCACCTCGCTAGCATGGCTCACCATCTGACCCAGCTTCGTGTCGAACCGATGTCGCGCGGAGGTGTATCTGAGAAGAGTCTCGTTACGCTGTTCGAGGGGTGTACGCGGCTGGATGATCTAAATGTATATTGTTCAAAGGGTGTTGCCATTCCCACGTCGATCGACCGACTCACACGGCTCAGGAGCTTAACCCTCAGGGCATTCGTTACCCGTCTACCCGACACTCTTACCTCGTTACAGCTTCTCAAAAGCCTCGTGCTGCAAACTATTGGTCTCGAAGCTTTGCCTGAAGATTTCAGCAACCTGGTCTCCTTAACGTCGCTGGAACTGCACGATCGCCGCTTGGCGTCACTTTCGGACTCTTTTGGGCAGCTTACCGCTCTGAACCGTTTATCCTTGAGTGACTCCTCGACGTTGCAGCTGCCGACCTCTTTCACCGACCTCTCTTCTCTCGCCGTCCTGGAGGTCCGACGATGCAGAATTCTTCTTCCGCCACAGGTCGATTTCAGTCAACTGCGGGGACTTGAAATCATAATTCTAGATGAAGTGGGGGGTATGCGCGACTTTATTGCGGATCTGGAGCATTTTCAGCGAGTGAAGACTCAAACCATTAAGCCCTGGAGTGACATCACGTCTCTGCTTGCGTCTCTTCCTCGCCTGCCTGCACTCACCGAACTCACCCTTGACATTGGACAACTCTCAGTGCGCTCCGAAGATTTCGGGCAGTTGTTAGTGCTTCGGACACTCGTGCTAAATTTGAGAAGTCTCACAGCCTTACCTGAGTCCATCGCCTTGGTTACCACTCTTCAAGACCTTTCCCTTGACTACCTTCGAGTTCTGACGCATCTGCCCCAGGAGTTCGGCCAGTTGGTTGCTTTGGAGAAGCTGCGCATGACAGACCTTGAACAGCTCACACACCTGCCCGAAACCTTTGGGCAGTTGACAGCTCTCCTGGAGCTGAATATAGTGGACTGTAGGCAGCTGCAGCAACTCCCGGACTCCCTATCCCAGCTGTCTTCTCTTGAGCACTTGGAGATTAACAGGTGCCAGAGCCTCACGGTGTTGCCAGACGACATGGGAAAGGGTCTGCACTCCTTGCGCCATTTATTTCTACTGGACTGCACCGCCCTCACCCACCTCCCTCCATCCTTCTCTGGCCTAACCTCGCTTGAAACCCTCAAGATTGAACACGCGAAACGCTTCACTGGGGCGCTGTTAGACGGCTTTGGCTCCCTGAATAGCCTCAAGAAGCTGTCGCTCGATTCCATGCCACGCCTATCCTCCCTTCCTGCTTCCTTCTCGGGCGTTCTTTCCCTCACCAACCTGGAAGTGGGATATTGTCCCAAAGTAACGGTGTTTCCTGAGGGAATCGGACGGCTACAGGTGCTCAAGGAGGTCAGGATCTTTGGGATGGACGGCCTGAAATGCCTCCCTCCGGCACTCCTTGAGTTGCCCCATCTGCGGGCGTTGGACGTGCAGGCATGTAGTGGGTTAAGTGCGGTGCTAGGCGATGAGAAGGTGGTTCGACGTACTGCCAGAGGCTTTGTGACCAGCACCAGCAGCACCAGCCGCAGCAGCAGCAGGGCGTTGCTTCCTTCAATTCAGAACCTCAAGATAAAAGAGATCGATGTTGAGTCTTTTGGTCCATCCCTGGGTCGACTATCCTCTCTGACGCAGCTGAAACTTTTGGAGATGGACAAACTCGAGTCTCTCCCTGACTCCATCGCTCACCTCTCACAGTTGCAAAGGCTTCGGGTTGATACGGCTTTTTATCTAAAAGCACTGCCCGAGACCCTTGGGGGGCTTGCAGGGCTGCGTGTCTTGCAGCTGGTTCGCTTGTACATGATGCGGCAGCTGCCCGAGTCTCTAGGGCAGCTGAAAATGCTTGAGACGCTGGATGTTATTGACTGCTACAAGCTGATGCAACTTCCAGTGTCCTCGTGAGTTTGTCCAAGCTACGATCGTGCTCTCTTATCAAGCTCAGGATCCCAGTCATTTCGGATGAGATCTGGAGGCTTTCTTCCCTCCGAAAGTTGCTGATTTTGGGACTGAAGCAGTTGCGAAGCTTGCCGGATTCGTTTACCCAGCTGCCTAAGCTTAAGGTGCTGCAGTTGATTGCGTGCAACAAGCTGGCTCGATTGCCGTCCTCTCTCCGGAGAATGCCAACGTTGAGTGAGTGCTACATCAGTGAATGCCCTTTGCTCTCGCGTCGGGACACGAGAGGGGTTCCTGCAAGGAGAGAGGAGGGAGAGGAGGGGGAGGTGGAGGGGGAGGAGGACGACGAAGAAGGGGAGGAGGAAGATTGAGGGGATGCGGAAGAGGAAGAGGGGGAGGAGGGAGCCGATGCTGCGGTGGGCGGGGAGGCAGTGGAGGAAGACGAGAGTGGGGGTTATGATGATAATATTGATCATGAGTATGCCTTGGGCAGTGATTATGACGACGACGTCAGAGACTGGGGGAACAGTGATGATGACTAGGATGAATAGTTGAGAGTGGTGGGTTGGAAGTTGGTGACGAAATCATGTATGAAAATAGGCTGTAGTTGCCAATGGAAAGGTTGTGTTGTTATCGCTCCTTACCTGATGTGTGCACTCAGCTGCCGTGTGATTTAGAATAGTGCCACTGGTACCTAAAATACAGGGGCAAACTTTCTCCTAAGAGGCTCCCAACGCCTTATGTGGTCATATAGTAAGCTCAAAATACACATTGTTTTCTAACCTGTAACAGTAATATATACCTTTTTGCTCCATCCTTTACACTCCTTGCGTATTTGCGAATAACAACTCACTGCCTATCACAAATTTCTTACACGTCTCACTGGAATCGCATCCACAAACGGGTACGCCATCACTTTTCTGGCGGGAAGCTCACAAGTGCACGTAGGGTCACTATAAGACACACCGTTGGGGCTCGCGAAAGCACTGTGGCCGATCCTCGAAAATCGAGATTGATGTTCGTCAGTGTGCGCCCTTCATCGCCGACCATTTCGCAAGTACGGTGTTACGTGAGAGCATCTGGCGGGAATGGTTCGAGAAGAACGAGCGGTTGAGTGCGGTGTGTCTGACAGCCTCAAGGTTTCCTAGGTGGTTTGAGGGACCAGGCCAGTCCTAGCGACAGCCCTGTTTGAGAGGGATGCACTCCGTGATCCTCGCGGGAATGATCTCACTGGTAATTCCTTTCGCATTTCAGCCTCACAACAACCTTGCTAATAGACTAGGACTCTCATTACCTGATTAGTAGCAAAATCAAGCTGAACAGCTAATCATTCATTATTTTCTCCGCCTTTCACAATGTCAATCGGATCGCCAATTCAGCGGCTACCCGAGGAGCTTCTTTCTCGGATTCTACGTTTTCTGGTTCGACCTGATGGGCTGCCAGAGCACGCACTTGTTAGCAAGCAATGGCATCAGATCGCGTGCCGTGTGCAATACGAGCTCCGTTTGCCCCATGACCTCCGTATGGATCCGCCTCGGCTTGTTCAACTTCTATCCTCGTTCCCTAACGTCGAAAAGCTAATCCTTTCCTCTTGCAGCCTCACCTCCATCTCCAAGTTTTTATTCTCTCACCTCGCTAGAACGTGTCCAAGTTTGACCCAACTTCATGTCGAAACGATGTCACCTTGGACTAATAAAAGAGATGTAACCGAGAAGAGCCTCATTGCGCTGTTCGAAGGGTGTATGCGGCTGGAAGATCTCTATGTGTACTGCTCGACGAATGCTGCCATTCCCACGTCAATCGGCCGACTTACTTCCCTCAAGCACCTGCACTTCGTGGCAAGTGGCGTTACGCGTCTTCCCAACACACTGACCTCGTTACAATCTCTCAAAAGGCTCGTGCTGAACACTTATCAGCTCGAAGCTCTGCCTCAGTATTTCGGCAATCTGGTTTCTTTGACGTCGCTGGAGCTCCACGTTAGCCGCTTGGCGACACTTCCGGAATCTTTTGGGCAACTTACCGCTCTCAACCGTTTTTCCTTGAGTGGCTGCTCTACGCTGCAGCTACCGACCTCTTTCACCGAGCTCTCTTCTCTCGCCGTCCTGGAGCTCCGACATTGCAGCATTCTTCCTCCGTCGCCGGCAGATTTCGGTCAACTGGAGGCGCTTGAAACCCTCATTATGGTTGAAGTGAGGGGAATGCGCGACCTGATTGCGGATCTGGAACATTTGCAACGACTGAAGACTCTTTTGATCAACGGCTGCAGTGACATAACAACTCTACCCGTGTCTCTTCCCCGCCTGCCTTCACTCGCCGAACTCACCCTTAACATGGGACAAATTTCAGTTTTGCCTGAAGATTTCGGGCAGTTGTCTACGCTTCGGAGACTCGTGTTAAACCTGCGAAGTCTCACAGCCTTACCTGATTCCATCGCTCTGGTTACCACTCTTCAAGAGCTTTCCCTCGATCAACTTCTGAATCTGACGCATCTGCCCCAGGAGTTCGGTCAGCTGGTTTGTTTAGAGAAGCTGTATCTGAAAGACCTCCGACAGCTCACGCACCTGCCTGAAACATTCGGGCTGTTAATTGCTCTTCGGAAGCTGAAAATAGTGGAGTGTAGGCAGCTGCAGCAACTCCCGGACTCCCTATCCCAGCTGACTTCTCTCGAGCACCTGGAGATCAACATGTGTCAGAGCCTCACGGTGTTGCCAGACGCCATGGGGAAGGGTCTGCACTCCTTGCGCCACCTGCATCTACTGGACTGCACCGCTCTCACCCACCTCCCTCCATCCTTCTCCGGCCTGACATCTCTTGAAACGCTGAAGATTGCACACGCGAAAGGCTTCAGGGGCGCGCTGCTAGACGGCTTTGGCTGCTTGACGGGCCTCAAGGAGCTTTCGATCAATTCCATGCCACACCTATCCTCCCTTCCAGCTTCATTTTCTGGCGTTGATTTCCTCACCAGCCTGGAAGTCGGAAATTGCCCTAGAGTGATGGTCCTGCCTGAGGGAATCGGACGGCTGGCGGCGCTCGAGGAGGTCAGAATCTTTGGGATGGGCGGCCTGATATGTCTCCCTCCGGCGCTCCTCGAGCTGCTTAGTCTGCGGGCGTTGGACGTGCGATCATGTGATTCACTAAGCGGGGTGCTAGGCGATGAGACGGTGCTTCAACACACTGCCAGAGGCTTTGTGACTAGCACTGGCAGCAGGAGCAGCAGCCGTCCTCTGCTTCCTTCCACACAAAGCCTGAAGATCAAAGAGCTTAATGTGGAGTCCTTCGGTCCATCCATCGGTCGCCTGTCCTCCTTGACGCAGTTGAAGCTTCTAGATATGCACCAACTTCAATCTCTCCCTGACTGCATCTCCCAACTCTCGCAACTGCAACGGCTTAAGGTTGATTCGGCCTACAATCTGAAAGCACTGCCCGAGACCATTGGGGGGTTTGCAGGGCTGCGTGCTTTGCAGTTGGTTGACCTCATCTCAATGCGGCAGCTGCCCGAGTCTCTTGGGCAACTGAAAAAGCTTGAGACTCTGGATATTATCAATTGCTACAAGCTGATGCAGCTTCCAGAGTCGTTTGTGAATTTACCCAAGCTACGATCCTGCTCTCTCATCATGCTTGGAATCCCAAGCATTCCGGATGATATCTGGAAGCTGTCTTCCCTCAAGAAGTTGCTGATTCTGGGTCTGAAGCACTTACGAAGCTTGCCAGATTCATTCACTCGGCTGCCTAAGCTTGAGAAGCTGGAGGTGATCATATGCAAGAAGCTGACTCGGCTGCCCGCCTCTCTCCGGAAAATGCCAACGTTGCGTGAGTGCGACATCAGTGAATGCCCTCTGCTCTCCCGCCGAGACACAAGAGGGGTTCCTGCAAGGAGAGAGGACGGAGAGGAGGGGGAGGGAGAGGAGGGGGAAGAGGGAGGGGATGCGGAAGAGGGCGAAGGGGAGGAGGGAGGCGATGTGGGTGGGGAAAGGGAAGAGGCGGGTGGGGAGGCACCAGAGGACGAGGAGAGTGGAGGTGAAGATAATGATATTGATCATGAGTATGGCTTTGACAGTGACGATGACGACGACTTTGGTAGACACTGGGGGGGTAGTGAGTGATGACTAGGATGAATCAGATGGCAAAGCTGGTGCTGCGGGTTGGACGTTGGGGATCGGGAAGGAAAGCGTGTATGCATTTAGATGGTAACTGTTAATGGGGAGTTGATGTGGTTCCTAAAGTAGGTAGGTAGCGCTCCTTATCGGTTTACAGTCATCTGTGCGCAGCGTGATTTTTTAGAAACGCACGGGATTATCTTCTCCTTAGAGGCCTCCCATTTGAGAGAGGCATTTTTCCATAGGTATAAGGAGACATGCCTCAAAGCATGCCTACAAAGCATGCCTTTCACCATATGGCGATGTAGTGGGATCAGAAGCACCATGGACAAAATTTGCACCAGAAACACGACTTCTTGCACCAAGCGCAGGACTCCTCACTAAACAACACCTATGCTAACGTAATTTAGTGCACAATTACTCAGAATGACATAGCTGTTTACGTTATAAAATGTTTCTGAATGTCAAATGCGAACAATATCTGTACAGCTTGTCTCGCCTGTCAAATGTTAATGTTATGATAGGCTGCAGTGAGGCACTCCCTAAAGGGTACAACATTTGTAGGACTCCTATTTGTATGCTTGCAAACCCTAATTCCAATCATTCCGTTGCATGTAGACTTTGAGATGGTATCACGAGTAGGTATCGATCCTCCGTCACGCCTAGCGCCCTCCGCGCCCTCCGTAGCGCCTAGCGCCCTCCGTAGCGCCTAGCGCCCTCCGCGCCCTCCGTCACGCCTAGCGCCCTCCGCGCTCTCCGCGCTCCTAGCGCCCTCTCGCGCCTTAGCGCGGCCCTCAGCCCGCCCCACGTCGCGCCCCTTAGTAACCCCCCCTCCGTGCCCTCCCCTTCCCCTCCCCGTCGCGTTACCTCCCGTCCCCCTGCCCGTCGCGTCGCCTCCCTTCCCCCTGCCCGTCGCGTCAACCGTCGCCCAGGCCCGCGCGTAGCCCGTCGCCCAGGCCCGCGCCTAGCCCGTCGCCCAGGCCCGCGCGTAGCCCGTCGCCCAGGCCCGCGCGTAGCCCGTCGCCCAGGCCCGCGCCTAGCCCGTCGCCCAGGCCCGCGCCTAGCCCGTCGCCCAGGCCCGCGCCTAGCCCGTCGCCCAGGCCCGCGCCTAGCCCGTACGCCCTGGCCCCCGCCCATCCCCACCGTCAAAACCGCCCACCCGCCCTTTCCCACCGTCCAAACCGCCCTCCCGCCCATTCCCACCGTCGAAACCGCCCTCCCCGCCCATTCCCACCGTCAAAACCGCCCTCCCGCCCATTCCCACCGTCAAAACCGCCCTCCCCTCCCCTCTCTCACTGTTCATCACCTTAGCCCCACCGCCGCCTTGTGCGCGAGGCCCTCCCCAAATCTGATGACACTGGACTATCCCTCAGCGGCTGGCAGCCGCTCTCCCTCGCCGGTCACCTAGGTTAGAGCCGTTTTAGCCACTCATACCTCGCTCCTCGCACCTGTAGCTGGCGATCCACGATTTCACGCCTAGTCTATGTCCTCCTCCTCCTCGTTCTTAGCTCCGCCTCCGCCGTGCTCCAGCCGCCTCTAGCATGGGCTCCGCTATGGAGGCCCGTCGCCTCCGTTTCGATGCGGAGGGACGCCCAATCGAGTTCGGTACCTGGCAGCGCCAGACCACACGCTTCCTCACCAGCCAGCGACAGGACGGCGCCACTCTGTGGGCTCACGCGTCTGGTGCCCTACAGGCCCCCCCGTCCCCCGCCGCCCTGCCGACCACCCCGGAGCCGACCCCTACGGCCCAGGCGGAGTACGACCGTCGGGTCCTGGCCAGGGACGTGTGGCTCTCGCGTGACGCTGCCGCCGCTCTCACACTGTCGGAGCTTCTCCCCCCGACTGAGGCCGCCCACTTTGACCAGGTGGAGACAGCCAAGGGGGTGTGGGATGCTATTGTTGCCCGCTACTCCACCCCCTCCTCCGCCTCCCTCAGTCGCCTCCTCATGCCGTTTGTGTTTCCCGACCTAGGCTCGTTTGCCACTGTTTCCGACCTAGTGACTCACCTCCGCTCGCTTGACGCCGGTTTTCGTGCTGCCTGTACCGACGCACAGCTCCTTGTTGCTCCCCCCCCCATGTGGCTCACTGTACACTGGTTAGTCACCCGCCTCCCTGACCGCCTTGCCACTGCCCGCGACGCGCTTCTTCAGAAGCACCCCACTGAGCTCACTATAGACCTCCTTCAGACTGCTCTCGGGACCATCGAGAGCAGCCTCCTCACCGTTGCCTCCGCCACTGATGCGGTGGCCCCCCGTCTCTTTGCGGGGTGTGCCGCCCCTCAGCTTCCCACTTTCACTGCTACCCGCGCTTCTGCTGCTGTGTCGGTTTCTGAGGACACCGCTGCCGTTTCTGCCGCAGACTGGCAGAAACGGGGCAAGAGTGGCAAGAAGGGCGGAAAGGGGGGAGGTGGGGGCGGTGGAGGCGGCGGTGGAGGTGGCGGTGGAGGTGGGAGCGGCGGTGGTGGCGGAGGCGGCGGAGGCGGCGGCGGTGGTGCACCAGGGGGAGGGGGCCCTGGAGGAGGTGCTGGACAGACAGGCCCACCCACAGGTGGAGGCCCGACCGGTGGGGGCGTTCCCCCACAGCAGCAGCAGCCACAGCAGCACCACCCGCAGCAGGGACAGCAGCAGCAGCAGGGACAGCAGCAGCAGCAGCAGCAGCGACAGCAGCAGTTCCAGCAGTGGGGGCCCCCGCTGCAGTGGGGTCCGCAGCAGCACTGGGGTCCCCCGCCGCAGTGGGGTCCGGGAGGCCCTGGGAGCACCAGCCGCAGCAGCAGTACTTCCAGCTGGGCCCCTCGCCCCCCTCGCCGTGACGCTGGCCCGTGCACTCACTGGTGCGTCACCGGGCCGGGTAGCCCCTGTCTCTGTGGTCGCGACGACCACTCTGCCGCGCGGTGCTTCCGCCGCCTCGACGACCTCTACCGGGCTCGTTGGGGCCCTTTGGCGAGCACGCCTCGCTGGTCTCGTCTGTTAGCCCGTAAGATTGATGTATTTGCTTTGTCCATGGACGATGCGCGTCAATATGCTTTGTATGTTGATGCTGACTCTAGTGCTGATGGATCTGTGTGCTCGCGTGTTCGTAGGTTAGACTGCTTGCCTCCTGCTAGTGTAGCCTTGTGCCTGTCTAGATTAGGTGCTTGTGTTGCTGCTCTAGGTGCTTGTGTAGCGACTGGGTCGAGTGACCCACCGGCTGAGGCCTCTCTTTCGTTCACGCTGGACTCGGGCGCGTCTCAGTGTTTCTTCCGCGACCGCACGACCCTTACGCCTCTCCTCACACCTGTGTCGGTGGCTCTGGCTGATCCTACCTCTGGACCAGCCGTTGCGCGTAGCTCCACCACCCTCCCGTGCCCTGTGGTCCCCTCTGGTGTCCTGCGTGGCCTCCACATCCCCTCGTTCACTCGGAACTTGGTGGGTGTTGGATACCTTCAGGACAGGGGGATCACGGTTACCTTCTTGGGGGGTGGGCGGACTGCAGTCTGTACTGACGCTACCACAGGTGCTGTTCTGGCCACGTTCACCAGGGAGCCCCGCTCCGGTCTCTACGTTCTCCACACCGAGCGCTCCCCGGTCGCGTCCTCCCCTCCGGTTGTTGCGTCCCCTCCGACCCAGGTCCCCAGTCCAGTGGCTGTGTCTAGCCAGGTAGTCGTGTCCAGTCCGGTCGCTGTGTCCAGTCCAGTCGCTGCGTCTTGCTCCTGTCGCTCTCTCGCCCACCGCACCGTTCTGTGGCACCACCGTCTTGGCCACCCGTCGATCCCTCGCCTTCGTGGCATGCTCAGTCACGGACTAGTCACAGGTCTCCCACGCACCTTCCCGTCGCTCCCTCTCTCGCTTGCCCCTCCTTGCTCTCCGTGCGTCGCCGGTCGCTTACGCGCCACTCCCCACTCCTCCTCCCTTCGTCCGGCCACCGCTCCCTTCGAGACTCTCCACTTGGACGTCTGGGGCCCTGCCCCGACGCAGGGGTCTGGGAGGGAGCGTTACTTTCTGGTGGTCGTCGACGACTTCTCCAGGTACACCACAGTGTTCCCTCTTGCGAAGAAGTCCGAGGTGACTGCTACGCTGATCAGGTGGCTTCTAGCCACTGAGGGCACTCGTGGTCGTCGAGTCAGTTGTCTCCACTCCGACCGTGGGGGCGAGTTTCGCTCCGGCATTCTCGGCGGATTCTGCGGCGAACAGGGCATCACCCAGTCCTGGACTCTGCCAGAGTCCCCACAGCAGAATGGGGTTGCTGAGCGCCGCATAGGCTTGGTCATGGACATCGCCCGCACGTCCATGATCCATGCCCGTGCGCCCCATTTTCTGTGGCCCCACGCGGTTCGCTACGCCGCACACCAGCTGAACCTCCAGCCGCGTGTCTCGCGGCCCGAGGCTTCACCGACCAGTCTTTGGACTGGTTCCCCTGGTGTCGGGTCGGCCTTTCGAGTCTGGGGCTGCCTTGCGCAGGTCCGCGACACCTCTGCGGACAAGCTCTCGGCACGCGCCATTCCCTGTGTCTTCCTTGGTTTCCCGGTAGACTCGGCCGACTGGTCCTTCTACCACCCGCCCCTCCACCAGTTCCTAGACTCCCGTGACGTCCGGTTTGACGAGTCCGTGTCCTACTACACCCGGTACCCTTGTCGAGGTCTCCCGGTACCCCCTCCCCCTCTTTTCCTCGCACCCTCTCCTCCTCCTGCTCCCGCTCCTCCGGTACCCCTGCCCCCCCCTGGTCCTGCCCCGTCTGGTGTGTCTCACGCTACCCCTCTACCCTCGGTCGCGCGTCAGGTAGCGTCTCCCTCCCCGCAGTCCTCCTCACAGCCCCCTCAGCAGCCTTCGGCGCTTCCGCGACAGGTTCCTGTGGACTCGGTTGGTGTTGGAGCTGGAGGTGCAGCTTCTAGCGGTGCTCGGTCTGGGGGCGCTAGCTCTGGGGGTGCTGGAGCTGGAGGTGCTGGCGCAGGCGGCGCTAGCTCTGGGGGTGCTGGAGCTGGAGGTGCTGGCGCAGGTGGCGCTGGCTCTGGGGGTGCTGGAGCTGGAGGT